CGGGACTGGGTCAGTGCCTGTGCGCGGGACTGGGTCAGTGCCTGTGCACAGAATAAAAACCAAAAGAACTGCGGATGCTGTAAGTCAGAAACAAAAGCAGAAATTGCTGGAAAAGCTCAGCAGGTCTGGCAGCATCTGTGGAGAGAAATCAGAGTTATGTTTTGGGTCCAGTGACCCTTCCTCAATGGTTCTGCAATTTCTGTTCGTGTTTCTGTACACAGAATGCTAGTTTCTGGCTGTGTGTTGTGTTGTCACTGTACTGAGAAGATGCTGCATGGTCCGAGGTGCTGTCTTACAGATTGAGATGTTAAACCATTGCTCCACTTACCCTCTCAGCTGGATGTAAGTGATGTCATGGCTCCATTTGGAAAAGGAACAGGGCTGTTCTCTCCAATTTTCCTTTCCATTCAGGAATTCTGACATCAATGCCTCCTCACCCACCCATTCCCCACCTCCACTGCCTCCTCCTGTGATAAACTCCAGCCAATGGGTTTGCATGTAGTGTTGCCCACAGTGTGTGACTTATTCACATTTCCTCCCTCTAGGCCACTCAGTTATCAACGGAAACATTGGAATATGAGAGTAAGGAGGAGCAGCTGGTGCTAGACTGCGCCAAGGAGCTCGGTGAGTTTGGGCAACATCATCAGGAGCACGACCCTTAACAGATGAGAGGGCTTTGGACAGGGTGCAGAGAAGATTTATAACAGAATAATAACAGTTTGACTAAGAGACATTAAGCAGCTCCCACTTGATTGGCACCACATCTACAAACATCCACTCCCTCCACCATTAATGATAAGTAGCAGCAGTGTGTACCATCTACAAGATGCACTGCAGAAATTCACCAAAGATCCTTAGACAGCACCTTCCAAACCCACGACCACTTCCATCTAGAAGGACAAGGGCAGCAGATACATGGGAACACCACCCCCTGCAAGTTCCCATCCATGCCACCCATCATCCTGACTTGGAAGTATATCAGCCATTCACTCCGTGTCCCTGGGTCAAAATCTTGGAATTCCCTCCCTAAGGGCATTGTGGGTCAACCCATAGGTCACAGATTACAGTGGTTCAAGACTGCAGCTCACCATCACCTTCTCAGGGGCAACTAGGAACGGGCAGTAAATGCTGGACCCAGCCAGTGACACCACGTCTCAGTTGTTTCTGATTAACCTGGGTTTGAATCCCACCACGGCAGATGGTGGAATTTGAATTCAATAAATATCTGGAATTAAGAATCTAATGATGACCATAAATCCATTGTCAATTGTTGGAAAAACCCATCTGGTTCACTAATGTCCTTTAGGGAAGGAAACTGCCATCCTTACCTGGTCTGGCCTACATGTGACTCCAGACCCACAGTAATGTGGTTGACTCTTAACTGCACTCTGGGGCAATTACGAATGGGCAATAAATGTTGCCTAGCCAGCAACACCCTCATCCTACAAATGAATAAAAAAAATTACTCTTTTTACCATTTTGGAGAAAATCAGGTGTTTGATGATTGAATGGTTTTCAGTTGGATAATGAAGAGTTGCTTGGGGAGATGGGATTGGTGACCTGTGTTCCTGACTTTCCTGTCCTGTAGTTCTGAGCCTTCCCGATCTGTGCAATTTCATGGTCTTGGGTTGTGGTCAGTTTGTGGCTGGATGTATGTGTGGCGTTGGCTCACCAGGCCAGACACAGAACAATGAGGGTGTTTAGAGAACAATCTTTGAGCCAGAGACCCTGGACGCTCAACTGTCCACCCTGTACGCATTCTAATCTGCCCTTCATTCTGTCTCTTTTCATCAAACCTCGTGGTTTATCTGGTGATGGTGCAGAGGAAAGCAATAACCAACTGGCAGCTGTTTCTGAAGAGCTGTCACGGAAGGTGGAGGATTCAGCAAAACAGCAGGAGGAGATTGGCATTCTCCTTGCGCGGGTCGTGGAACTTCAGCAGAAATGTAAAATGGTATGTCAGCAATTCACCAAGCCAATCCCAGCTCTGATACTACATTGTATTTAGAACACTTTCAAATGTGCATTTTGTCTTCAATCAGTGCACGACAGAAAATGAAGAGCTAAATCAATACCTTGTCGTAGCAAGAGAGACTCAGGAGCAATTAAAGACTGAGGTGGGTAATAGAAACCAGAACTCCGCCCCCCCCCCCCCCCCCCCCCCCGGTGCGGTACTGGCCCCCCCCCGCCGGTAAGCCCCCCCCCCCCCCCCCTATAACCCACTATATCCCCCC